TGTAATTACTTTGCAGTTATTTGTATTGTTTTTTGTGAACATAGTTATTTTTATAATGCAACTGTTAATCAATAACATTTGTTTCTTATTTGTTGGTTCACTCTGAATGGTTTTGCGTAACGTTTTCTGGGTAAACGTATTGTTTCAATCTGAAAGTCCACACATAACAACATGTTTTCATTATGTAAGTGAATACGAAAACAAATATTACCTTGTGTTTGGTCTCTTCAAATCAGGAAGATGTTGAAAATGCAAATATTCAACCAGATGAAACGTGGATATAGCATTAACCACGGAAGATTCTCATAACTCAAAAGTTTACTTGAAGATCTAGAATCTGCTCCTGGACGCGCCACAGAGGATCACGAAACGTGCACCAACCACAAGTCGATACACCTGCCCATCAGTTATGTGGTGAAGCGCACGTCCGGCAGACAGAATATTGGCAAAATCTCTTAAAAAAGCACTGAATTTCTTGAAATCTGAAGAGCACGCATGGAGCTAATTGATGTCTGTTAAAAAATTGACAATTGAAGATGCTTGAGGAACGGCCACGGGGAACTTTAATAATTGCCAATCTAATCTTGAAAAGACGGAAAATAGCGATTTTGAGAAAAAAAGGTCTTGCATCCAGCTTTCAAACAAATACGTTAATTCTTTATGGAAATGAGTTTTTTTACTTTAACTTAGAACGCGGGTCCATAATAACGTTCTCGTGGGCACTTAAAGCCAACGTCATACAAGTCACACAAAGCTTCTGTCACATGCGAATGTCACAGGGGCACTTAAAGACTATGACATGGACACTGTATGTCTATGTCACACATGCTCTTACATTCTATAATAGACGGGCACTTCATGCTAACTTACAGCACGTGACACACGGGTACATTATGCCTATGTTGCATTGCAACGTAAACCCATGTATCTCTGGAACTATTGTCTTATATTACACGAGAACTTTAAGCACACGGGTTCATTGTGCCCAGGTCCTTCAAGCACTTATATCCATCGTCACATGGGCACATCATGCTCATATCACACCTGTGTCTCACGAGTTTCTATAAACTAACCAATCTCGATAACGATGTAAGAAACTACACCGAAACTACGATCTAAGAATGTCAAAAACGAGAAAATGTAGTCACCTGACTGACTGAACATTTTCTGAATGAGCATTACTTGGTGAATTTTATACATGTGGCAAATATTCCTGCTTTGAAGAAGCAAACATGACATGAAACTTGTTTTCAACAGACCAAGATTTATCATAGGTTTAGACTATTTCTGAATATTTGGTATTTAAAAGCACTTTAATCAGATTTTTAAACTTACATATAAACCACATTGTTATCCAACTGACCCAGTGTCAGTCTATGCCGTGCCAAATAGTACAAGACCCTGACAAAGTTCACAAAGACATAGTACAGCTAATATGATCATATCCCCCACACTCCGCAACTATCGTAGTGATTCGAACGCTTTGTGGAGCAAGGCCCAGTTCTGTATTAGTAAATCCAACTTTTCTCATCACTTTTTGATCTGAGGTGACCTCATCGTAAAGTATGTTAGTTTCATCCACAGCTGAATACGACTGCCTTCGTCGTGTTATCAGGGTAACAAACTGAGAGGTCACTCACTTTGCTTGATCACTGATTTCCCCAAGGCCTGCCCTGCAATACAAGCGACTGCCTGGATTGAGACGCGTGCTGTCACAAAGTGACGGATCATTTGCTATCTATTTCCGTGAACATAGTTTCAGCTGACTATCCTGAAGTGATGGCTCTTATACTAAGAAAACATATTTTTATTTTAGGAACTGTTGTTCCTTATCAATTGGAAGTCACAAAAACAATCTTGAAACTGTCTTCAGGAAGATAGCAGTGTAGTTTCAGAAAATGCTCATCTGCCGATCCCGAGCAAATGAAAGTTTAATGTTGTAACATATAATATACAGCACGACTTTCCACCGTGTGAACTCAAGCCGGGACCTCGTTAATCGTTAATAGCAGCTGTCACATGCTCAGATCTCAACACAAGACACCCAGTGTGTTTTTTTATTTGTTATGTCCTCAATCAATAGGAAGGTGGAGATGCACCATGGGGTACTGGGCAACATCTAAAGAGGTTGTGTCAGAAGGTACTGATGTCTTCCTATTCATCACATGTCCATCATCACGTGCTTCAACACACCTGACAGTAGAACAATACTCCTAATTGATTCATTGAAATAAAATTGGATTAAATCTTGGAATTAGAATTAGATTTTAATTATTTATTTAGGTGTGTCTGTAAAGGTGTCCTCCCCTGGAGTCCCGCGGGCGTTAAACAACTGCGTCACTGCGTTGGGTACATCAACGTGTACATGAATGTGTGCTTGTATGTGATGTTATTTTTGATTTAAAAGAAGGTACTTCCAGTTCAAACCGAATGCTTATACAATGACTGAGTTGTGCCTTAGGACATTCGATTGTACTCCGCTCTGGAAATATATAAAGCCATTCAGGATATTTCTATGATTGATGACTACAGTGTCTAGTTGGCTTAATAGGCTCAATACACTTTTGGGACCAGTTCTAAATACCAGTGACCCCTTCAGGATATAGTTCAGTGTAGGTATCCAGTCCAAAACCCTTGTCGTAAGAGCCACCTTGAATTAGGATTGGAATGTCAGTGTTCTAACTGTATGCCTAGTGGTATAAATAGTTGCCCGTGCTGTGAAGCGCTGGTTGGCCTTGATTCAAGTAGTTACAAGGCAACGTTTGCTAACACTGACAAGAGATATTTTGTTGTCTGTATATTGTTTAACGACGCAATATTCCCGCTATATGACGGCGGTCTGTAAAAACTGGAACCTGGACTAGTATTGAAGGATCGACGACTGCTGCCTATACAACTTTAACATCCTCTGTATTCAAATGATTGTCAGGCCTCCTAATCTTGAAGAAACAAATGTCTGCCAAGTATTGATGACGTTGGACTTTTGGCATTACCTGGTGGAAGCCTTCCACACCAGAGAGATTCAGGGTACTCTTGCATTTTGGGCATAAGTGTGTGGGCCTGAAAACTGATGTTCGCAAATAATTGGCAACCATCTTGCAGCAGTAGTTAGGCTGAGCTATTGCCAGGCACCCTTGGATATTTGATATGTGATGGGTATCATCTTGAATTACTCTTTGGAGGTGTAAAAATGGGTAACGGACTTCCAAACATGTATGATAAGGAAACTTTTGAAAATATCTATTTATATATACGAGTGGGGTATGAGGCATAGACATATTCCAACAATGGAACTGGATTCCGTTCTGTCAGTTCTAGATATATATATCCAAGTTACAGAGGACTTCTTTGACATGTAAAATATGTCATAACCGTTTATAAGGCGTTTCTCATTTCATAACCGTTTCTAAGGCATTTCTCATTTTTCACGCGTGGTTTTAGGCTTTCGGCAATAAATATCAGTGAGGAACATGAGCTTAACGCAAGGCCGGATTCAAACCCGGCACTTTATCCTCTAAGTTCGTCAGCGTCCATTCTTCTACACTAGTAAACATATACATGCCTGGGGCGCAGGGCAGAAAGTGATGCGTGCACAAATGATCCATCTTGAAGGATCAATACAAGACATAATTTCAGTCTGAGCCAAAAGACTTTTATACGTGCCCTGTGTAGGTAATAATATATGAGTTTAAAGACGAGCAACATGTTGTAATTCAAAATTCTGGGGCTACAACTGGACCCGATTATAGACTCACATAACGATGCAAAGAGACAAACAGAGACTACTGGAAATTACATATGAACTGAACCAGTCAGACACTTTCAAAATATTGACAGAATCGGTTTATGTTGCGCACGTTTTCACTTTTTATAAAGGTCGCAAATAACGCCCACATTCCTTATTGAAACGAGATTATTCAGAAATTCGGAACATATTAAAGGACCGATAATTTGACATTCTGGGCAAAATAAGAAACACAGGCAGATGGTTTTATCGCCTTTTTAAATTGTGTTTTTGCAGCTGTAGCTAAAATGAGTTCACCATACAAAATCCTGAACACCGGATATACGAATATCCAATGGTCGATCTTTAAGTCGGATTTGATTGCTTGTTACTGCATGTACAATTGCACATTGCGTGGCAGCCTTCCATCAAAACGTCATCCAGTCCAATCAGCCTTTTTTTAATGATGGCATCTGAAACAAGGGATTTCTAAAATGACGTTTTTATCTAATTGTTGAATGATGGGTTTTTTCACTAAGAATGGAAACATAGAATATCGATTTCCACCATCAGGGCGCCTGGAAATCATTATTTTTGGATCGAGAACGACACTGAATGGAATGCAACCGCTTCTTTTGATCTACATGGATCACGTCTTAATGTAGATACAGTTTGTTTAAACAGTATTAATGTTTGATACATTGGACTTGGTAATGGAACAGAACTATATAATATTTGTTCAAATATATAAACATTGTATCTTGTGTTGGAAATGATCTTCAAACATTGTTTTCATTTACATTTACGGGTGCGGATAATGGTTAAAGCTTCCGCTCGTCACACTGTAAACCCGCGTCAACTTGTTTGAATATTATTGCTAAAATCGGCGTAAAACCATATTCACTTACTTACATTTACGGCGCCATGTACCTTGTTACATGAAGTCCAACACCTGACGACCTTATAAAACATACTCTTAAAAAGACTAGGGGAACTTCATTTGTAATTTACGATTGAAAGAAATTGGGACAAATATTGGAGTCAATCAAAGTTGAAATTATAATAATGAATGTTTTGAAAGTGCATCATCACTTGCACTTCCTTATGACCATAGTTGTTTGTACGGTAATCGCTCTTGAAACATGATTGGTGTATGATGTGAAATTTGCATGTGTACGATTTGTATGATTTGTATTTTCAAACAAAAAAACCCGGCTAGATACAAACACTAACAACTGCGTGATGCAAGATGATTGTCAAAATTTACGGTCTGCAGTGATCGACCTTTTGAAAACCGTCAAAATTATGAATGACACTCCATGCACGTGTATGTAGCTACTGCGTTGTGCACGTGCATCCCATGCATTGTGTTGATAGGAGAGCAGCGACTTTAATAAAGTGGCCAAATTAAGGAGTTTAATGCCCCCATCTCTTGTATGGACATATTATGGCTCATTTGAAAGCTTATTGTACCTACTTTAACATAGGCCATGATGTGGTGGCCAGATATTGCCCAGTTTAAAAAACTGCGTGTCACGTGATCCCACAAGGCCAAAAAATATATAATTACGATGTTTAATTTAGATATATAAATCATTCATTTTTTTGTTAAGTTTCCATCACCAATGGTGTTAAGGCATATTCTGAATTGTTTTTATTTAATTAAATGACCAAAAGGCAATAATTAAGTTAAAACCTGAAAATCATATTTTTGGGGAAATCAGCCTTTTTGGAAATTTACGCATCAGCTTCATCAGGAAACGTTCACTTTGCGTGACATATCTGTGCCTATCCCAAGGCAATAGAAATTGTGTAAAGTATCAGATAACACTAGGATAAATAATTTAAACATTGCAATAAAATCGAGACATATGACTTTTTGACTCTTAGAATGATAATCTTTGGAGATGCACGATGTTGCAAATCTCCCAAGGTTATTTTCAAATAGCATTGTCAGTGTTTATCTACAGTGTTCTGTTTTCTGTGAATGTCTACTTTTCCAACTGATTCAGACACTTTGTATCTCCCTGACAAGTGCGCATTTAGGTTTATGGTTGCATTATTTCTAGGCAAAGAGTCCAGTCCAAAATTTCAGTTCTTTCAGGAGCAGAGACAACACTGTAGTATCTCTTCTGCCATCACCCATTGAAAGTACACAGGTTCCAGATCGTCATTCTCTTTCCTCCAGTCAAAGGCCACGGGAGACCCAAAACTTATTTTGCAATACGGAAAGATATCCATACTCTGCTTTGCCAACATGCACGTCGTACATGTTAAGTGAAACTATATTCGCATGGAGGCACAAGGAAGACTCAAATTTCTTTGCTCCGAGAGTGCTCAGTGTACCGTGACTGCCTTGCTGTTTTCCTTTAGGCTCATATAATTGTTCTGTGATGATTCTAACGGCAGACAATGCATTTTCTAAACTTGATCCTGCCATTAAAAACAAGCAAAATCACTTTCAGGTGTCTTCAGTTGGCCTTCCAAATTCCATATCTGCATGTATACAGAATTATACAGGTGTCAGTTTTTCCATGGAGAGGGCATCTTCTTCCTTTTAACCAGTCTTCTCACTATTGCTGAATCCCCCAGCTGGCATCAACTTTCTCCCTGGATGTCCATTAAGATGGTCCAGGTCATGAAGTACTGCTTAGTCACAAAGAAATCTAACCAGGGTCAGTTTCTCTTATGTCAACGTTCATGAATTTCTTCTATGTTGGTACACATTGACAACTGATTACTTGATACTGGCGGTATGCAGCTTCCATCCTTCTCCTGGTTCTCACTCATGATGGTTGTACCTATTAAAACATCTACAACAACATCTGCTTTGTTGAAGCAGTACATCAGCTGAGTCTGCTAAGTTGTCAAATGGAAAAGGTGTTCCCTGACATCATTTGGAGTACTGCCATGCCATTTCGAATGTAAACTGTCTGACTGTCTGAAGATATTTCATTATGCTCTCTAGTATGTATCCAAGGTCACACTTTGCAGATTTCCTCATGGTGCATCCAAGGAAAAGAGAAGTTAAAACGGAACTGTTTCCAGAGTGACATCTTCACATGTAGCAAGGACATAGGCGGATCTGGTGTGTGTGTGTGTGCGTGCGTGCGCGCGCACACACTCCTTTTGTCCTGAAATTTTATTAAATGACCACCACCCCCACCCCCACCCCTTTCTCAATAAGCTGTATCCGCCCCTGAAGGATAGGATCAGAGCGCGACGAAATATGATTTCTAGTCAAGATGTTTCCTATTTTGCTCTTGAATTCAGTTGCCTTTGTCATGTCAGTAAATGTTTTGACATCTGATCTGGTATTGGGACTGTAAAAGCTCCGACTTGTATCTGTTTTCAATGCAGAATTCACAAATCTTTCAAAGTTTTTTCTCTCCTTTTTTTTCATGAGCAGAAGGGACTGTTGTACTTCAGCTGGTGTATATAAATCTGTTGCGATGTTCAGAAATACTTCAGGATGAGAATCTATATTTACGGGATTAGACATGCTGTTCTGAATGTGTTTGATTAGATCACTTGTTTAGATTAGAGGTTTGCACTCCTCATGGGTGTTGTCTTCACTGCTGCTTAACATACCACTTATTTCTCTGAGCTTAGATGTATAATCACCTATGATATGTTTGGTCAGAGTCCATCGAATTAGTGCTGATGTCTTGCGTGTTAGGCCAGCAAGCCCACCTTCACTCTGGGTGGCTTCTCTTGCCTCCCATGTCAGTCCATTTTATTGTCCTGGTTTTTCCCTCAAAGTGAACTGCGTTGTTTCAAATGCACCATTGACAGCGTCATGTAGGTGCGCCGTGTCAAGAATGTCGACTGGTAGCCAACAAGCGTAGGTTGTTGGATTTGCACTGTAAAAATGTGGGAGCAATGCATTTTGGGTAAGCATGTGGAGGTCCCATTCACCTTCTCTCTCAGCCCTGATGTTCTGCAATAGGATGTTTAACGCCACAGCAAAGTATAGTCAAAGTGCAAAGGTTGGAGAAGACTTAATTTCAATTTCTCACATTCAATAAACGTTCGCATGAGGATGTCAGTTGATCATCAATAAAGCTTTGTCATCTCTATACCACCAACTTCTAGAATGCCACTCAAACAAATCTTGTGTCAGTCCTTGAACTGCTTAATGAAAGTGTACATTGGGATGTAAACCCAAGAATCAGTTAGCATATCCTGCTAGCCACCATCTCTCTATAATTTTCCAAAAAACCAACGTAACGGCAAACAGCATGACATCTCCAAGGTGACATTTAAAATAAATACATACATGGTCATTACTTCAATTGCTCTCATCGCAAAAAAAGCCTGTTCATTGATGACATATACAGTCAGTTTGTTTCTATAAACTAACATGGAACAGGGTTCATACAGATCATCAGCCATCAAATTTACAGTCTTTTCAGGGGCTTTCTAAGATCCAATCAACAAATTTAAGGAACTATAGAAATACATATAACACATAAGTAGTTGAATATACACAAGATTGGTGAAATATGGTACCGACCATCAGGGGGAAATAGCATTTAGCTACATTGCTGCACTGGGGATGTTTTGCTTCGGATGGAAATTACAACGCCCTCTGTCGTTTTATTATGTATTATGTATTAGTCAATGCACTTCACCATAAGATATGTGAAATAATGATAAAAGTACTATGCATAATCTTTAATCATTATGAAGAAGAATTAAATTGACTAATTCAAATGTTTACTAAAAAAACATTTTTTTATGAAAAAACAAACATTATTTCTGAGAAATTTCAATGACTCGGGTAGATTGTTAGCTCCAGGTAAACACATTTAAGAGTATTTGATGTATTCTTCATTGTATTTCATCATTGCAGATTGTATATATAATGAACAACTGACTTTCCATTTTTCTGATTTGAGTAAAAACAAAACAAAACAGGGTGCTGTCACGTTACCTCGATTTCTGAAAAATGGGACCACTTTTGACCACCACATCATGGCACATCATAATCTACATACAATAAGCTTTCCAAAGAGCTATAATATGTCCATAAAAGAGATGGAGACATTAAGTCGACTCTAAACCCTAGCCTACTGCTCTCCTATTAGGGGTGGTGATAAAGAGAAATGGTGGTGCTTTCATAAGATGTCTGTCTTTGAAAAGTTTGTTAACGCTTATACTTCCTATCCAAATTGAAATTTGAGGTACACCTACCTCTTTACAAGTATACATGCATTCAGAGTAGATGATAGCAAATTTAAACAAAACCTCAGATACAGCTGGGTAAGAACAGTTTGCCACACTGGAAGTTACCATAGAAGTATGCTGCAATACCGTTAGTTTTGTACAGACCGCCGTCATATAACTTGAAAATTGGTGAATGCGGCCTAAAACAACAACGTTACACACTCACTCAAAGACTCACATGCTACTAATCCCAGAAATAAAGTCCAAATGGAGCCCAGGATAATGTCTGATTCTGGCAATCTAGATTCTTTAGTCATTCTATGCTTGAGTTCTACTCCCTTTCAATTAATTGGCTCTGGGAGTCCAACTACTGCTCCGTGTATGTAACAGAAACTTCACCACTCCGTGGGCAAGACATAGGGGCGTCTCATTAGGCCATGAGCTCTGGCAGTAACAACTGAAGGGGCGCCCTCTGAGACATGACACTCATTAGCAACAGGCTGCTAATTCTGTCTGCTTGTCTTACGACGTGCTGCTGTGTATTACGCCCCGAAAGCCTGGATCAATAATAATTATGAGATATTTATATGTCCATGCGCTGATTGTCTATGTCATTTGTCTGAATGATCACATTATATTAACCTATCACCGGCGGTATTTAAATGGCTGGATCTGCTGGAAATATTCTGCCTAAAACATTGCTGTCCCTGAGCTTGGCAAGGCGTGTGATTTGTGTCTAACAGATTGTGTTTGTTGGATCAAACGAATTCACGCGTGAGTCTCGGACAGCTTCATCTTTCGCCTGTACGAAATGTCATTGTTTTCAACAGCATGAGAAGATTCACTGAAGAGATTACTTTTATCCACCACAGAGGCATCATAACCCTTGCTCCAATGCTTCCAGCCTTAGGTATTTGTGGAAGCTCTGCAATGATTGGATGAATGAGATTTTGTTATGTCAGTGGGCCAATAGGATCTCGTGAGATAACTGTCTTTTTATCCCTCGTGCTGCTGGAGTCCTGGTAGAGTAGAAGTAATGTGACAACGAACCCGGTACGATTGAGTCGTACACCAATCATACACCATCATCTTATTATGTCACAAAGAGAAATATGGATGAGAAAATGGAGGGAAATTATGCATCATATTGAGAGCCTTTCCTTTAGAAAGGGTCCAAGGAGTGTTGCACATCCTCGGCAAGAATGATGTCTCATTACGCCGATGTGAAAGGCATTTGAACGAAACGACAAATGACAACCGCCTCCACTAGCACTATTCCGTAATGTATAATTTGTCTGTCCCGGAATTCGCCATGATGCTTTATGAGTGATATTTCCATGCGCCCTGTCTACCGGTTTGAGTGATTTCTATTTGGTCGGGTGGAAGAGACCTCTTTTAAATATCAAATGTGGACCAGATCGACCAGATACTGAGCAGCTCATCGTCGTTCGTTCGCCACGGGACTAGAATCTCGCGTTATCCCATCTTCATTTAAACCAAAAGCAAGCATGGGGCAAACAGGACCTTCATACCACTATGCTAATACCCGTGGAATCCACACACTGAAGACCCGGGTTAGAATTGGTCTTCAGCAACACGACTAAAAGGCGACTAATGGGATCGGGTGGCCATGCTCGCTGACCATGTCATCGTATCCCATTTGCGTAGATAGATGCTCATGTTGTTGATCACTGGATTGTCTGGTCCAGTTCCGAATATTTACAGACCGCCGCCATATAGCTGGATTATTGCTGAGTGCGGCGTTAAATAACAAACCAATCAACCAACCACACAATATCATAGATGTTAGATATATGACCTGTGTCAGGTTCTCTTGCTGTGGAACACTGAACGCAGCGTGAGACTGAGACTGTAAACACAATTACCTTACACTCCCTGGAGACATCAAGAATTGTCATGACTTCAGAAAGGCGAATAGATAAATGTTACACCATAGCGATTCAACCAGTGTTTTGCTTTTAACTTTAAGTGTGAGTGGATGTAAAGATAAATTCCAGCTATTCAAACTTGATTACACAAACAATAATATTCAATGAACGATTAAAAATTAGATTAATTACAACTAACCATCAATTACTACTTTCCATATCAAGCATGAATGCTTCCAAAATTAAATAATCTTTCACAAATATATTTTATTGCAAATAGTTTTGAACACTGCCTGTCTCTTGTGAATCTACTGCACACCGTGACAGGGTGTGATCACCCCTAGGGCATGCAACCTGATCATGCGGTTTTCACAGGACGGATTCAAGTTGTCACTCTACGAACGCCTGTGGGTAATGCTTCTAATCTTGTTAACCATAGTCGATCTTCATTCTTTAGACACAACGTTTTAGAAAAACATGACTACCATTCTTGTGAGTGACACTTTGATCGACCAGATCCCGTCTCGACCATCTTCAACATCCTGAGTACTTGTAGTCTTTGACTACAAATGTCCATGTTGACAAATTGCCCTTTCCCAGGGGCACTATGATGAATTGCTAGTTTAAAGAAAGAAATAGTGTTTATCCGGAATCGTTATGGGCCTTTTGGCCACCTGTGGTAGGTTTGTTATGTTAAAATGATTACATCTGAGAAGTGCTTGTGCGGATTCCGGGTCGCAAGTAGTGGATATGTGACCTGGTCCATCCAACCATGACAAGGTGGAAGATCACGTCTGCTTTCCTTGATCCCGTCATCTTGTTACATCGCGTAAAATCGCGTATATGGCATAAAATACATTTACTCATTTCTTAGATCTGTCAGACAGTTAACATGTTTCACTCGATTTTCAGCACGTTCAAAATTACCACAGTCAAAACACGATCTAAAGTTACCACTGTAGATAAAACTGCAATAGTTCCCTCTACGAAAACCAAAATAGAAACAGTATGGTATAGTAACATGTAAGTGCTTATGAAGGGTTGTTTGAAAGAAAGGGAGAGTTCGTTTGTTTGGTTATTCCAGTCATATCGCGGCGGTCGAGTCTGGACCAGGCAAGCCAGTGATCAACATCATGAGCATCGATCTATGCAATTGGGAACCGATGACATGACTGTCGACCATGTCAGCGAGCCTGACCAACCGATCCCGTTAGTCGCCTCTTACGACAAGCATAGTCGCCTTTTGTGGCAAGCATGGGTTGCTGAAGACCTATTCTACCCCGGATCTTCACGGGTCTCTAAACAGTGTGGCGATGCCTCGAGCTCGCAAACCTAAATGTTTATCTTATCGATGCCACAAAAGACTCATTGAAGAAATGTCAGTTTTTATAAAGTAGGTATTCGTGACATAAAGAACATGCCGCACTAGCAGTGCCCGTTTCCAAAAGTGTATCTATGCAATGCCCCGTTGTACTATCCAACAATCACAAGTCGGTACTACATTCTAAAAATCCCTTATTGACTTTTCACCTGCCACTACGCTCCGGGCAGTGGATGTCAGATAATACATGCCGTGAGCAATAAAACTATAACGTCAGTGGTGCTGTACATGTTGGTAAAAAGGTAGATATTAGACAAAGGATCACGAAATGATAAAACAGTCGATAAAACGAGTTTCTTTGAGAGGCATTTTAGAAGTTGTGATAAAACGAGACGAAAACATCATTCCCATGATTATCCAAAAATGTAAAAGCCAACCTCTACTTCACGATTCCGAGCACCTCGTGAGCATGTGTCACAGAATCACCACCATGTAGTGGTGATACCTGATTTCATCAAGGTGCGTGTCGTTAAAACGTGTAACAGGAAAATACAACGACTCACGACAAACGCCTCTCTGTGACAGATGATCGTACAAATTCCGAAGCCGATGTTATTGCACAAAGCTGTTTGTGCTCAGGTGAGCAGATCGATTCATCCACGTCATACGTTTCATCCACCGCCCTTAATCCATCACGTTAATACCTGGCTAATGTAAATACACCCTGCCTCAGCTGAATACAGTCGGAATCCTACGATGCTTTTAGCAGCAATTTCATATGATCATGGATATGTTTTGGGGGTTTTTTCGTTTCTTTCTTTTCCTTTTTCTTAAGGTTTATTTATTTGGTAGTCATTTCAGAGCATTTCGACCCGGAGGTGGAAGAAAACACGCCAAGAAACATTGAAGTAGATTACTTCGTTGCCATGTTCATCTTGCCTTCACAAGAGCCTTGCGCACTCAAAGTGAAACTGTCATTAATCAGTCTGATAGTGTTATTGTCTTGGCTGTCGTGTTTAATTACTCTTATACTCAAGTCAGCCCAATTTATGGTTATCCGATCCTACGACGCGGATACTAAACATCCAATCGGATTTGACAATTTGGAAAAAAAGACGAAAGAGCATCAAGGGTGCTATTAGTTTGAATTTAAAACAATGACCAAACCGAAAGATGACGTTTGGAAGGATTTTAGCTAAAGTTATAAGTGTGTATATTCTAAATTGTTATATAAACAGGGAAACAGAGAAATCAATGTAATTTGTAATTATATATCTACATGGATTGTAGGATGATAGAATGATAGACAGGTGATGGATGATGCAGTACTATCTGTGGTACCCTAAAGGCAGCACATTCCAGTTTCACGGATTGTCTGGTCCTGACTGGATTGCTGCCGTGTGGCCGCGGTAGTGTCGGGGACGACGTTAGGCAGCATACACACATCATGCAGATTTTGAGTGACGGCGTTTTCAACTAATGAAGTATTAATTTTGATTGTTGGAGATGTCATAGGCGAGGTACCCTTTGTGGGACCATAGAGAGAGGTAACTTAGACACTAAATAGAACTAAATTACCTGACCTAATTCTGGTCAAACATACATTGGAATCCTGTGTACACAAGTATTAGATACCAGAAGACTTTAATCGAAGCGCACCCACAAGAAGCACCAGTAACTTCCTACTGTAGTTTGTGACTTAAACAGTAGACATGTTTGTTTGTTTCTCCATTCTTGC